GAAATACAAATTATAATGTATTCTTTCAGTGACATTATTCGATAACAATACTTAGCTCACAAAAAAAAATATATATGAAATTAACTTTTTTTTTAGTATCCTGTTACAACTTACACACATCTTTCATTCAATAGGAATTCACAGACGCATATAACGTTACAAGTGTAAAATTGTGAGAAAAAATAGAATTTTTCACATTGTGTAAGTTAAATATAAGCATTAGTATTAAATCAAACCATATAAAAACAAATACAACAATGGTGAATTTGGATACATCACAAAGCCGTTTAGCTATTTTTATTATTTTGCTCACACTGGCAATTCCATCAGTCATGTGTTCACTCTATATCTTTTATCACTTTATTCGATTTCGTGAGCTGCGTCAGCGCATCAATAATTATATAATACTTATTTTATTAACCATTACTTTTATACAAGTAAAAAACTAAAAATAATTAGAAATTTTTTCACGTGAAAATTTATCTAATATTATAGGTAACATGTGAACTACCATTAACTTTAACTTTTTTACGAACTGGTTCAGCTGCTATATCATCGAAAAAGTTTTGTCAATTTTGGATTATTTTTGATTATATGTTATTTACTGGTAGCTTGTGAATAATGGCAATAGCAAGTATTCAACGATATTGGCTTGTGCTTCATCGAACGTTTTTTGATAAACATCTCATTCTCTTTCATTATATTCCATTAAGCTTTGTGTTATATATCTGGTCATACTCTACAGTTGTTTAGTAATCAGATACTCATGTATAAATGCACTTGATTATTCGCTATGGACTTACGGAAGAGCATGCTATCTTTATGAAATAAGATATAAGCTTTTAACTTTATCAAATAAGACTGATGCCTTCAACTTTTTCTCTAACGTAAATAGAAGGTGTTTGATTAAGATTTTTAACAGATAACTTCAATATTTGCTCCCATTAATGTTTCTTTTTAGTTCTAATTAAATGTTCTAAAGGATCTTCGTTGCTTAATGATGAATTAAACAATGATTTGAATGAATAATAATACTAATTATTTTCCTAAAATGACCAATACTTTATAGAAGTTAATGTACAGAAATACATATTGGCAATAATACATTTGTATGAGAACTACTAATTTAAAAAAAGGCATTATTGTTTTTTTGATTGGACTATATATACAAGAATGATGTCATTACATTATTTCAATATTCATTTTCAGAAAACGTTTGAAGATATTCGAAAGTGCAGAAAAAAATAATTTATGACTTTGATTAAATATCAAATTATCTTTAAAAATTAGAAAATCTGTATCTTGTAACGAATTCTACTTTAGGCTGGCCTTGGTGCATATGATTGGATAGTCAATGTTTGTGTAGATGTTCTTCTGAGCATTCTAGTCACATTGCTAATTATCATTCGTGTTTTAATTCAAAAACGTCGAACAACAACTCAACGATCTGTATGGAATTGAAGTCGTCGCATTATTTTACAGTTAGTTACTCTCTCAACACTTTATATGTTAGTATGGTTACCTTGTGTCATTTGTTTCGTTATTACACTTTTCAAATCTGTTCCATTTTTATCTTCACTTTATTCTGCTTATCTTAGCTATTATCAGTATTTATCTAGTGTTCTCTGTCCATTTGCTTGTCCCATGGGTCTACCCGAAGTAAAACATGCATTGAAAAACACAATGCGGATTAAACCAAACATTGTGCGAATTAAGTGACAAACCATACAATATATGCAAAATTAACATAAAAGTCGTTTACAGAACTATTCATGAATATTAAGATTTTGCTTAATGTATAATGACTGTAAATTATACTGTAAAAAAAATTAACAGATAACAATAAAAAGAATTGCTGCTTACTCACTGAAAATTCTTCAAAACTTAACTGATAGTTCATTGTAGTTTAAGTCAATTTCTCAGAAAAGATAGAATAAAAAATTGAACAATTTGAAAGTATTTTAATTTTTAAAGAATATTTAATGTAATAATCTCCTTCGAAATACAGCGTTGATTTACAGATAATTCTTTTTTTTTCAAGTTATTGTAATCTTAGGTGCAACTGATTATTTGAAGTTTGTAAGAATCCATCATTGCTTAACAGGAGTCGTTCATCAACTTGATTCAGCTTTTATTCAAGAATTATGATTGTGACATTAACTGCTCGATGATTTGTATTCTAAGTAAAGGTTTTGAAAATAAAAAATGTAGCACACAACTAAGAAATAAAAAACATCCAAAAAATTGTTTTCCTACAAAACGAGTGGGATGTCAATGAAATATTTTAGAATTTCTGATATAGTCAAATATTCTAACTTATAATAATTTCAAGAACGAAAACTGTAGAAAGAAAACTAATCTCCTTCTTGGTCATTAGTAATTAGTTAATAGAAATGTAGAAGACAATAATTTATAAAACTATGTGTATCGCAAAACATAAAAAATTCAAGTAGGCGATAGATTTCTAAGAGAACACTATTACTTACATAATGTTACGTCGAAAACAGCAAAATCTGTCTAAATTTGTAAAATCGATGGATAAAAAACGTTCATTTACCTTTGATTAGCTTCATCTATGCTATACTCTTGCCAACGTGTACCACTAACGAGTTCATATCATCAGGTCTGTGAAAGTGTGTGATTGTATCCTCTTTCTCAATTGTTGAAAATTAATAATTATTATCTAACAATAAATACCAGATGTTTAGCATTTCAGCGAAGCATTTTTGTCTATGTCCCTCTTAGTTTCAAACTTTCATTCATTCCTTATTGTCTACTAATTAAAGAATCGTTAGCCACATACAAAGGTCATAAAATCTCAAATGAACACCAAGATTAATGTCATTAATATGATGACTTAATCGAGAATTGGGATTTAAAAATTCCTTTATAGAGTTTTAAATAACTTGATATTTTTTATACTGAAAATATTGTTATTCAAAAATATAATTCTTCATCCGAGTGTACTTTTAAATCGATTGTGTATAAATCTTTTCAATGCACTTAGTTAATAATACAATAAATGGAAGAAAACCGATTTTAGACACGGTTAAATAGAGCCTGTTGGGTAGAGATCTCGGGCTCGGATTCAATCTAATAGATACTACTCTGAACGTAAGAGCCATTTACAACTTTATTCATAGAAGGTCACCATCAAGACTACTTGTGAAATGTGTACGATGTATTAGTCGCAGAATACAAATAATTGAAAACAAAAGTTTTCTCTCACGTTCGGAGCGACTGCCCAATTCGAATTCAAAAATTTTCGAATCGACGAGATCTAACATTATTTTTTTTTTTATATTCACGATTTCTAGTATTATTTTATTCTTACTACCAATGACAAAACGACTGAGAACCCTATTTTTCATCTAAAATAAAGAGTTTATGATCAGAAGTTTTCTTAGATATATATATGAGTAGTACAAGTGTAGACGTTTATAATACAAATAAAAGTTTAATATGAAGATGCAAAGTGTTGATATACTTTCTGAGTCTTTGTAATACATGCTTGAATAACATTTAATGATAGGTCGTTGCAAGCTTCATTCACAGCATTCTCTAGTTCACGTTGTGACTTTGGATTCTTATTTTTACCTTTCTGCTTGCTAATGTTTCAAAACAGTTCAATATCGTTAAAATCAGGACCATAACCTGGCTATTTACATAATTCAATATTATATTGTTCATACCATTGTTTGAACTGAGCACTTCTATGCCATCTAACTTCGTCAGAAACATATGAGAATCTATTTTAATTCTTTTATAATTCCAAATAAAGCTTCATTTACTGTATCACTATTTAACCAACTATCAAATTGATAGAAAACATAACGATTCCACAGAATGAAACCAATTAAATTAAGATGCGTCCGTAAAGCTGAAAGTTCCTTCTTTGATGTTGACTCTCCTCGTCTACACCAAACCACCTGTTATGTGCTTCTTAAACTCACATAACACTCATCTTCAAAAATATAGCTTTTGATGTTAGCATAATAATGTAATGCAGCAAATCGGTGTCGTTTTAGTCCATCAATATTGTTGCTCTTGACTGTAACAGGAGACTTGCGTGGACGATAACATTTTATTGTGCGTTCAGTAGTGTTGAAGTGTGTAAGTGATAGTAATTCAGCAGCAGTAGCCGATCAATCTTGTTGTATGATTTGAGATGAGTCGAGTGCAGATGGACGATCAGGACTATGTCCATAATTTACGTCGCTATGGGAATGATAATAATTGATAGTGTGGTATATTGTATTAGCATGACAGTTTAGGAATTGTGCTACTCGTGAAATATTTATAGAGTCTTTTTGTCCACTCACTAATGATGTACCAACGCTTTTCTTTACTTGTTGTGTACATTTTGAATAGAATCATCGAACAACGAAATAGAGACAAAACACCAAATAAACAAAAGTAATTATACAATAACCGATTATTAAATATTATTCAAAGATGTATTAAAAAGACTCAGAAAGTATATCAACACTTTGTATCGTCATATTAAACTTTTATTTGTGTTATAAAGGTCAACATTTGTACTATTCATATATATATATCCAAGAAAACTTCTTCTGACCGTAAACTCTATATTTTAGATCAATAATACGATTCGTAGTCCTTTTGTCGTTGGTAATCAAAATAAAACTGAATGATTTTGTATACAGAATATGTTAACATTACCTATTCAACTCAATGTTAACAGACATGTATTACTTAGATCTTTGTTAATATATATGGTTAGAAAAGTCTATCTATCTTTTTCTTGTTATGTCGATTAGTTTTTGTCCTATTTTCGCTTTCATAAACGATAAAGATAAGATTATTATACGACACATATTTCTGTTTTGAATTTTCATATCGACAGACACATGTACAGATATGCAATTGTACAAGAGAAAAAAAAACACAAAAAAAATCGACATACACTGAGAGAAAAAGATAAAGTATTACATATTGAAAAGAGAGAGAAATTATTAACATTAAACATTTAATTATAGTTAAGCTTGACTTGATTGACTGGTACTTTCTTCATCGACAATCATTTGAGTATCTTGTGTTTCATTAGAATTAGATTCTTGTTGTTTCTGTTGTATTTGGATTTCTTCTTGTTGTTCCTGTTGTATTTGAATTTCTTCTTGTTGTTTTTCAGTATTATTATTAGCAAGATCAGCTATTTTATCAACAACAGTTTGTGAAGCAAGTGTTGGAGCTGTTGCTGGTGCTGGCATCCATTTATGAACACGCATTGATGTTTCATGAATGACTACCCAACGTTTTTCCCATTTTCGTACAGCTTGTGATGTATAAGAATATTGAAGAGCTCGTTTAAGATCAGGATCATTGGAATTTTGACTCTGATTTATTTTACCTCCATAAACACTGCCACTATAACGAGTCGATGCACTATATGATGACCCGCCACGGGCTTCACTCCGAAGACGAGGTACGATCATTTGATCTAGAAATAAATTTATTTTTGTTTTTGATTCTTGTTAAAAGTATTCTTGTCTTGAAAATATAGAAATTTTTCTTTTTTAAACAATATACTGATTTGAAATTGCAGACGAGTAAAATAAAAGGATTAGACAAAAGAAAAAAGACACAATTGACTCATAGTATACCTAAGTGTTTATTGATTGCTTCTTGAACCTATTGAAATACTTCACTTATAAGTATTTATACGAGAAAAAAAAACATATTTTTTCGAATTTTCTTCTTTGAAACGTTTTTGTAGTTACATTCTAAACGAATATTTTTCTATAGATGACGCTGTTTGTTAAATACTAGTTCGTTGTCTATAGAGATGAAGATACTAATGTCTGCATTCTTTCAATTTATTAATACAGAATTGATTTTATTAAAAATAGAAAGAGAACAATGTTTCCACCACCATTCGAATTAATTGAATGTATTGATCTATTTAATATACTCAATGCTGAAATTAATGGATTAGCACGTATTAGTGATATTAATTATCTCTATTTACTTGGTTTTTATTTGTTTTGTTTTTTTGAAAATATTTTTTATAATCATATTGAAATTTTCTTAGATTGTCGATCACGTAAAGAATATGATGAAAGTCATATAATAAGTGCTAATCATATACGACGAGTAAGTTTATATATATATATATAGTATTTGATTGAAATCTTTTGTATATATTATCAAGAATCAAGATGGTCAATATGAAATGCCATGGCATGCTGATCTTGAAACACGTGAACATATTGTTCTCTATGATAGTCGAACAGATAATTTACCATTAAAAGAACAAGGTATATAATCGATGTTGTTTTTTGTTTTAGCAATGAAGATTAGTTATTGAAATGTTATTTTATTGATATAGATGATATATATGTATGTGGAAATTTACTTCATCAACATGTAACTGGATTGACAACTATTAAAATTGTTCAAGGAGGATTTCAATTATTTTCAAAATTATATCCATTTTTACGTACACATCAATCTCTTTATTCACCAAGAGTAAATTTTATATTTATTTATTTTGATTAATAAATTTTGAAAATATTTTCTATTAGGAATTAGAATTAATACAAACTTATCCAAATGAAATATATCCAAAATTAGTTTATTTAGGTCGTCGTGAACATGCTGTTAATTCACAAATAGTGAAAGATTTAAAAATTCGTGCTTATGTTAATTGTACAAAACATGAAGATTATTTGTTAGTATTTTTGTTTGTTTGTTTGAGATATTTTTTTTTCTTATTTTTATTGTTAAAATCATAGAATACAAAATAGTGATTCACGAAAATATTGTCGTGTTCCAATAGATGATGTTTATGATGCACAGAATATATTTGACTTATTACATGATGCTGTTAATTTTATATGTAAAATTTTTTTTCATTTACAAATATTTAAATGATTTTTGTTTAATAGCTGTAGCTTATGATCGTGGAGATCCTGTTCTTGTTTATTCCGATCGTGGTGTTAGTCGATCAGCAGCTGTTGTTGTTGCTTTTGTTTCATTTCAAATGCGAATGAGTTCACAAGTAAGTTTTAGTTAAAAAAAAAACAAAATCATTCAATGAATAGTTTATGTTGTTTTTTTTTTCTTGTAAATATTTAGCAAGCTCTAAAATATGTTGAAGAACATCGACCTATACGTCCTCAACAATCATTTATTGCTTCTATTGATAAATTGAATGAAAAATTACAAGAATTGAAAGAAGCTATGTCGACTGCTAATCAAACATCAGTAACCGATGATGAACAAACAAGTTCATGAATTATAAACTGATTTTTTTTCCTGTTTTGAAATATAATTATTTATTTCATCATTTTTTTTTTCTACTATATTTATATGACGTAATCATCAGACGTAGAGCAGAGTTTTCCAATACTATAGTTATTCCGCTCAATAGAAAAAATATTGTACGCATCAAAATATAAGAGAAGTGACACTATCCGAAGAAGACGAGTATAAAGAAATAAAAATATAAAAAATTTTGATATGTTTATAAATTGTTCATTTTATATGATCAGATTATTTTAATTTTGAATAGAAAAAACGTTTCTGTAAACTTGAATAACAAATAATCTTTTTTTAGTTGATAAAAACAACACAATTAACAATAAGAAAAAAAAATAGACCATAGTGCTTGAATAAATATGATGAAATAGTTTAGATTCACTATTGAGAAGTTTTCTGATTGTCACGCTGTTGACGAGATTCTCAAGCAGAGGCAATCACATGAACTTCCTACCGGAAATGTATTCTGTACCGGATCAAGTCATCGGCGTTAATAACTATTTCTGGAAGGTTTTTCTTTTCTTTGCTCTTCGAGTTTAACTGAAGTGAATGGAAAATTTCTTGGAAGATAAATCGTACCCAAACCTATTTGATACAGTAAATACAACTATTTTCTTGTTTGCATTATTATGTTCTGTTTGCTGCATTCAGCTGCTTTGTACTTTAATCTCTTGTGATAAAAATTTTATCATTTTCATATTTTCTTTAGAATGAGATTTGATCTCGAAGAAAAATATGTGTTGTCTCATTTGAGAATATGTATGGATTCTACTAATTCAGAATTGTTTGTCGTCATAGGTTCTTCTGTGATATGTAAATCTTTTGTATATCTAAGTAAGTAAATTAAAATGTGTTCAAACTGCTCGTCTCACTATCAAAAATTACAATAAAAAGTTAAATCATGTCTCTCAGTCATTTTCAATATTTAGTTGAACAGTTGTGTTTCAATCGACTCATTTCAAATTTAGCAAATTATTATCGTCAACAACTTATTCAAAAGGAAAATAATCTAAAACTTAGGTCTCATGATGACCGGACAATTCGTCGCAATGACATAATGCAATCATATCATTGCGACGAATTGTCTATGCGACGAATTGTCCTAGTACCAGATCTCATTAGAGAAACCAAAAAATGAGAATCATGTACACTTTTCATCAAATAAAATTTTGTTCTTGTTTGATTAGTCATTTGAAAACAATTATGATAAGTAAGAAAAAGAAAACCATTTTCAAATATTGTTCAAGTGTTGAAACCTTCGAAATTTGAAATAAAATATTATCAATAAGTATTCTTGCTCATATAAAGTAAAACGTGAAAAAATGAAACTTTCAAAACAAAATTAGCATCAGCATTTTATTAATCAACAGTTTCAATTCATAGGTTATTTTGTGCACATTAGTTGCTTTTCACTGCGTTGGTTTAACAACCGCCTACGAATTTGATTGACAATTAAAGTTAAATGAATATTCCTAGAAATGAAGAAATCGGAAAAATAAAAATTGTATCTCTACTTCGAATATTTTTTGATTTCGATGTAATATTCTTATTTGTTGAATTCAATTGAAAAAACAAATAAGATGCTGTATAATGTTTGTTTTTAAAAACTATAAAATAAATCTTAATAATACAAGCGTAGTAGGAAATACTGTGCGGTTAATGAGACTTCTAATGAACTTTATCAATGATGTTGATGATACACGAAGTTCATTTGTGGATGTATAAAAGCACAAACTTCGATATACTACTAATTGATAAAATGTAGCCAATATTCATGTTTTAAATAAGATCACTAATCATGTATTATTATTGGAAAGATTGTATAGATCTGAAATATCGAATTGAAAATGTTACCAGTAGTCAGTATCATGAACAATTATATTACTATATTTTTTCGGGTCGAAATATATTTCTATCCCTTAAAAATGCATTATGTCAGAGATCTTTAAGACGTTGGTGGATCACCGTAAGATTTCCCCCGTATGTTATCTTCAGACGATGCTACGATTTTGTTTCTTTATGACTGTATACAGAGCAATCGAATCATATAAAAAGAAATATGAAGTAAAATGAAGGTTGTATATGACCTCCTTGTACGCCGATAGTAAACAAATATCTTTGTTTTCGTCAATCATTTTTGTATACAACATGAAGATATATGATCATTATAGTTGACAACGTAAACTGCGTTATTCCTTGAAGTATAACTTTTTACGACTAGACACTAGAGGCCGTCGGATCCAAAAATTTTGGATCCGAATCTGGTTGATTAAAATTTTTCGGACCCGGTCTCAAATTGTACTCTTGATGCTTAATGAGATTTTTTTAATTCATACCTGATAACTCCTAGGAACACGTCCTTAACAATTCTGAAGCAATCTCGATCATGATTTTATAAGAATCAACTTATAACTGGCTCTTTTTTCAGAGTACCACCCATGAAGTCAGACTCGAACCCGATCAATAGAAAATTTTCAGACCCGGATCCGACCAGGTCCAGATCCTCTTGCGTAGTATCAACTTCTTTAATCATGTAATGCACTATGAACATAAGAAGTGGTTTGCTTCTAATGATCGAGTTAAGAATGATCTAATGCATTACACACAAGAGTACCAAAAATTAAAAGAAAGCTAAAGAATAACCTAAAGCAATAAGTTTGAAGTTTTGTGATTGTCTCAGTATTTATATAAACAATGATATTCAACTTTCCTATTGGCATCTTGTAATGGAATCCATTCGTTTCAATTACCATCACCTAGTTCAATATTGTTTTCATTCAGACAACAACAACTCCAACTGTTTGATAAGGAGGTGTTAGCTATCCTGCGAATCTTTGCATTGCATGACTCACTATCTAATCCTGTTTAATTAGTTGCGTGAAATAAGCAATAGGCATCAAATGTCTGAATACAGAAGAATAAAATATATAGACAACTAGACAAAAGAAATATTCATGCGTAACTTATTGATTAATCTAGTTGATCTATGATGATGAAAGACTCTATAAACAATCATTTCTCATAATAAACATATCTATAGCATAAAGAAAGTTTGAATTTCTAATAATCTTATTATAAGGTTTCGTAAAATATAAATTTTTTATTTTATAAATTTATCAATCTAAAAAATGATTTAAAAATCTATTCACATTATATTAAATAAAAGATCTCGTACAGTCATCGCTTCATGTTGTATCGAAGTTGAGATGACTATCGTCATGGATCGATTGTTCTAAGATAAATTGCAACTGTTTGACACTTGGTCGATCTGTAGGTGTTTTACTCTTGTAAACCCAAATAACTCGACCATTTCGATCAATAATAGCATTACCACCCATCTGATTTGGATCGTCATTTTTGTCTAATTTCGTTGGTAATTGTTTTCCACTTAATTTTTGTTCGACATAATAATCTAATGTTTGAACATTCCATACACGAGCATATGCTTTATTAGGAAATCCAAAATGTCGGTAGAGACAACGATCACTATCACAATAGATATCAAAAGGACATTGAACTTCATTTTTCCATTGACGGGCGCTATCAATTGATGATGTAAAACTAACAATGACAATATGACATTGATTTAAAGTTGTCAACAGTTGCACATGTTCTCGTCAAGGTAATCAAGCAAGATGACGTAGAAAAACAAATAAATTTCGATCATGATTTGTATATATACTTTTTAAATCAATCAATTCATCATTATTGATATTCAAAAGTTGAATATCGGAAGGTAATGTAGATGGATATGAAGATGAAAGTATAGATTGATTATCAACTTCAGATAGAAAATTATTCCATCGAATTCGAAGATCAGAGAAAGATGAATTTTCTAGATGTTGTTTTAATTCATTATAATCAGACAAATTAAGCAAATTACAAAGATTGACCAGAATTGATATGTATTTACCTAATGATGAAATACGATCTTGAGAAAAAAAATCATTAGGATTCGAAATAAATTGTTCATGAGCAGTAGAAAGAATAGAATTCAATTGAGAGATTGAATCTTCTATTATTGTAGATGTATTCATTATCTAAAATAAGAAAAAAAAACAAAAAAATAATCATCTATAACACTCTATTAATAACTTTATTTTCAAAGGAAAGCAATGCTTCGATTAGCATTTCGAATAGAAATCCAAAATAAAACAGTTTTATACACTCTGTTTACACTAGTAAAGTATACAACAGTGAAGTTGTTTTCAATTAAAAATGCAAAAGAAGCAACGAAAAATCTTATTTTTTTCGTTTGCTACACAATATCTAATGACATTAAAACAACAACGATCGGAGAATAGAAAAAAAACAAGTAAAGTATTCAAAAATAGTGGAAAAAATTTCATTTATTTTAAAATTTGTTTACTATCTCAAAAACAACGTAATACTCTATTCAACAAAATGTGGATTGTGAAACAACGTATATATCGAGAATATCAGATATTCTGTATATTTTGCTTCCTCTAGATACATCTGTCATTAGACAACCTAGCTCCCACAAATAAATTTAATCTTTTCTTATTATCGTTTCTAACGATAGTTATTTTATAGTATAAAAAAAAGAGGCACATTAGACATGCATTATAATGTTGTTCTTTTGCTATACATGTAAGTTAGTAGCAATTAATGAATAAAAAGAAAAAGACCTTGATGTAAATTTTTGAACTTAGGATTCTTGCCAATGAGAAATTATTTTTCTAAAGCAAAAAAAAAACGATAAGAATAAGTTCGTAATTAAATTTTATAATACGAAAAGATAAACTTATCTACTTATATGTATATATATATATACATCTTCATTGAATTTAATCAAAGATTTTGACATTTAATAAATAAAGACCAGAAATAATATATTTTTCTGATTGACTTGACACATAAGATAAGAAAGGTTGTATTCATCTTTTGTGTACTCTTTTAAACTATCACACCTTTTATTAGTAATTTTATTGTCAAATAAAATCTATTTGCTCTGTTTTATACGTTCTTCTTTGTTTTTTTGCTTTCTTGTTATCTGTACTTTCATATTTTTCTTCTTTCTTTTATGATCATCGATAAAGCTTATATGATGTATGAAGATTGACTTCAAACGAAACAACAACAACAACAACAACAAAAACACGTCGAAATAAAAAAATGTAGATTTCATGAAAACATGTTTTTTTTTATCAATAGTAGTTAGATGTATGGTTAAAAAAAGAGAAAAGAAAGAAAAAAATCTAGCGCTATCTTTTCTTTGTCAAAAGAAAAAAAAATAACTGACATAGTTGAATTTTTTCAGTAGTTATTTTTATTCCTTTCTTTCTTTACTCGTCAACTTGTTTATGAAATAAGCACAAAGTAAAGAAATAGTTTTTTTTTTTTTTTTTTTTTTTACTACCTTAAATGACTAAGATGTCGTAGCAAGCGTATGCCAATTAAATTCGTCTATATTCAGATAGTAATAATAGTACGAGCAGCAGCAGCAGGTGACCTTGAAATATACCAGCAAACGATACTTGAATAACAAACTTTGACAAATAATATTTGTTGTTCTGTTAGACGTGCGCCAACATTACCGCCAAATCTTTCGATCAACACACTAAAACAGGAGGAGGAGAACGAGAGAGCGGCAAAAAACACAGAAAGAAAAAGAATTTATAATAGTGGAAAAAAAAAGAAGCACAAAAAAAACCAAGAAAAGGTAATAACACACACATACGTATTCATAATCAAAATACTCTAGTGGCAATACCTGATCATTGATAAATTTTCATAAATTATACAGACTATATATTTTTTTTCTTTTTTTCATTACCCTCATCATTATTATAGCAAGAAAAGTAATTAGATAGCTCAAATCGAGCGAAAATATTTTACCAATTGATACACACTAGCATTATTATACTTTATACAACAACAATATATAGGTGAGAAAGAGAGAAACATACTTTTATGTACAATATCTTATGACATATGCGTAAATGTATTCAAACTACATTGACTAATATGTATATTTATTTAATATTTCTTTTGTTTTTAAGTATGTATATTAGTTGTAAAAGAAAAGAAATTGTTCATTTTAGTAGATATTTTAGGATTTGATAATGACATGTCTATGTTTGTCGTTTTACAATCGATCTTTTTTTTTCAGTAGTGAATGAAAAGACAGAAATATTCATTCTATGCAAGTGTTAAAATAAAATATAAAAGACAAGATTAATAGTTTACTGTCTTAAGTCTTTCTTAACTTTTATTGACATTAATAAGATGGAGAAAGAGAAAGAGAGAGAGAGAGAGAGAGAGAGAGAGAAAGAGAGAATTAGCTAGTTGTGGTTTTGTATATTCTGGTCACGAATTTTCACTTCAGTTTCTTTATTTCCTTTCTTGTTCTGCCGCTGACTATAAAACACGACAATTTCTTTTTCTTATTTAAATAGAACACGGATAAATATTCGAGCATTTATTCTTTTTCTTTTAGCTCGGAAAAAAGTGCGGTAAGTAAAACCCATGTGTTATATTGATGTGGTTATTTAGAAGATAATTTTTAATGGTTTCTTTTTGTGTCCTTTACTTTTATCTATATACATTTTTTATTATTGTAATAAGTAGTTGGATGATGCCGATGGAAATATGAAAGTGAAAAAATGTTAGAATAATATCCGATCTTTCTAAAGAACAAAAGAAATACAGTTTTAAGAATAAATTGTCGGTTGTATAAAGAATTTGAAGTTCTTTTATTCTAATTTTTTTTTGTGTAAGACCGAAAAAAAAAAAGAATAACTAATATTTATCTGTTGTGAAAGCTTAAGTTTTTTTTTTCTATTCGTCTTAGATATATGTAAATCAATATTTTTATATTTAGACATCTATTGATTGTTAGTTGATATCTATTATTCAATTTTGTATTTGATTGAAATATATTTCAATTAGAAAGTATTCAAGACAATTTTCAAAAAAAACAAAAATAATTTTATAGATGGCTATCTCGACTCGTCAATACGGTCGTCAAGGTGCAAGTAATGTTACGAGAGCTGATACAGGTCGTTTAATATCAACTTCATCAACAGGTTCAATGTCTGTTCCACCTCGTCGTTATGTTCTTGATGTACCAACAAGTCGTACAACACGTATAAGTCGTACGACAAGAACAACTAATGGAATGAATGATGATTATGATGAAACAAATATGCGTAGTCGTTCACCTGGTATGTCAACAACATATTCAACTGTTCTTAGAACAAATATTAATAATGGAAGTAATGAACGATTATCACATTCAGGTTCTCGAGAATATTATTATGGAGATGGAAGAAATATATCATCATCACCAACTAATGTAACACGTTATTATGAAGATTCATCTATTAACCAATTACTTGAATCAGGTACAACTTATAATAATTCATTAGCTGAAGATCAAGAAGTTCAAGCATTAACAGCAAAAGCAACACCTGATGTCAAAAATTATCCAATTAATGTTGATACTAATCCAGAATTAATTGTTCGACCAAATACACAACGATTACAATATAAACAAGATATTGCTGTTCGATATTTAAAACCTAATACACCACCACCTCCAGGAGTACGATTTCAAAATTCATCCCAACAAAATAAAACAAAAAAAAGAAAAAAAAGAATATTTATAAATGAATTTCGTTCCTTTTTTTCTTCTAGCCTATTGTTATTCGTGAAATTCGTGCACCACCACCACCACATGCTCCACCTATGATTCTTCGTCAACGACCTCCACCACCGCGTACACCATCACCTGTTATTATTCGTGAAAGACCACCTGTACGTCCAAAATCTGTACCAACAACAGTCATTAAAAGTATAATTTATTTTCATTAATATTCAAGATGATTTTTTATTTTTATTCTCTAGAGGTTATTCCACCACCACCACCACCACCTCGTAAATTAATTATTGAACGTCTACCTAATCTTCCACCGAAACCACGTCCTGTCATTATTGAACGATGGCTTCCATATCAAAAACAAAAACGTCAAGTTATTCATGAAAAAGCTAAACCATACGAACCAATGACTCGTATAAAAAATACAATTATTGAATGGCGTCCACCAGAAGTTGAAGTTGTTAAACATGTTAAAAAACTTGGAGTTCAAGATGCTGATCCACAACGATATTATAATCAATATAGAGATAAATTATATACAACAGAAATTGTACAACGAAAATTAAATGAATTAGGTTTACAAGAAGAAATATCTTTAATGCAACAACAACAAGCATCTGCTGCAAATGAAGAAATTGCTCTTGAAAAAGCTGATGAATATAATATTCGACAAATTCTTAATAGGTAACAAAAAACAAAAACACAAATTTATTTTTTAATTATTATTTTATATTTAAGCTATGGATCATCATCATCTTCAAGACAAATATATACAACAAATAGTGATGGTACTGTTGTGCCTCTTGTTCGTTCATCATCTCATTCTGGTATTATAGATGAATATGGTGAACGACAAATATTATATGATCGTTCACCTAATAATTCAGGAACAATTGTATATGATGCAAATAATTATAATTTTGATCAAAATATATCAAATGCATCTGTTCTTACAGAAGAAATGATTTTACGATCACATGCAACTAATAATGGTAAATTTCCTACACATCTTTTAACAAAACTTGGTTCACAAATATATGATATGCCACCTGAACAAGTTGATTTATCAAATAATACAAGACGAACAACACATTATTATACAGTTAATCAGGGAGGACCAAGCTATGAATCAACTGGTGATACAGCATCTGGTTATACAGATGAAAAATATGTACAAATATTATCATCTGATTTAAAAGATGTATTACCTAATTATGAAGTTTATTCAAGTACAGGACAAAAATTAGAAGGAGAACAACTTAATTTCTAAGAATAATACAAAAATAAAAACTGATCTTTTCTTTTTTCTTATCATTATTGTTTTGTTGAAAAGCTAGTAGTGTATTGATTTGCTGCTATTTTCTTTTTTTCTTCTTTTTCATTTATATATATTTTATTTGACTAATTCATGTGTTGTATATCCCGAGTAACAAAATAATCCTTGTCCATTCTTTTTTTGTGTTTGTACATAATAGAAAAAATATTTTCAATAATTATTATTACAGTAGAAAGTAAATGAATTTTTACAATTATTTTATCGATTTTCAAATTGATCGAATATAATACAATATAATATTTCTTTAAAAAAATAAAATTACCCGACGAAAACATTCTGTTTTGACTTGTTTTCTTTATTGACACAAGCACTGTCGATTTTCATTCCTTTTAGTTTGACTTCACTTTTTTTTTTAAATGTTGTTAAAGTATTTTAAGGAGATTGAGAGCAGATATCCCACGCAACATTTCATTTTAATATTTCAATTCAAAAGAAAAGTAAGCAGCACACAAAAAAAAGTAACAATTTAATCGAACATTCAAAGTAAACAGAACAACTATGTGAGTTTTATTTTTCGAAAAAAAAAACATCATTTTAACTATTGTAATGATAGATATTAAATATAAATTTCTTTATTTTAAATTTCATAGATATCAATGTTGAATGCTGGAGCAGCATATATTAGTCAACAACCACGTGATACTGAAATTCATAATAGTTTTGCTTTAATGGGAAATGAACATTTCATACGTAGTTGGGCGATGACAGAAGGAACTTGTGATTGTTCGGGTTCATATTATACGACTCTTACTGATACAAGATTATTGTTCCGATCTATGGATACAACATGTTGTAGTAGTTGTTGTAAACCAGGTCATGTAGATGCTTCGATTTTTTTACGTGATATTGCTGAAATACGTGAAACAACAGATCGTGAAGACTGCTGTTCTTTTTGTTGTGCAAAATGTTGTCAATGTTGTGGATGTTGTAAACGTTGTTGTGGTGCAGACAGATATCTCGAAGTACGAGGTGTATTTGGCTCGGAAATTCTACATGTATCCAAAGCAGATATATTAAAATTACAAAGTGAAATTCCAGCAGCTATTGGTAATCATAAACTTGTTAGTCAGTATTAATAATTTTCATATATAAAATAAATATTTGCAACAGATAATGTTATTTTTGCGAAAAATTTATCTAGTTCTTAAATGAATCAACTAAAATAAACAATTACACGAAACAAATAAAAAAAATCAGACATATCTATATATGTATAGAAATTTTTTTTGTTTTTTGAAATATGATACTCCTTCTTCTATCACATACTATATAAATGACAAATATTATGTCATTCAATTACTAACAAAGAGATAGAATTCAATCAGACAAATAACAAAATTCTTTTTTTGTTATCCCTACAAGATGTACATTTTAATGTGTCAAAAAAAAGAGACTTTATTTTCGGAATATAATAAATTTGAAAACATTTACTTTGATCAACTAGCTTTTTTTTCGGGTTAAAAGAAATTAATTTTTTTCATGCATTGAAATATGTGCTCTATTAATGAACCAGAACGTTGGTTTTTTTTCGTTACTTTCGTCTAATTTGGAACTAATGACTATGACAAAATATTTTCAATGATGTTTTCTAATACTTGAAAATAAAAGCAAACAATGACTGTCACTTAAAAACAAATCATACAAAAACAGATTGCTTAATCTGTCGAAATATACATTTTTTTACATATGCAAAACGCAAACGATAGAAGCTCGGTTTTTTTTTCGTATGTAAAATCCATATTTATTCGAACCTTTATTTAGTTAAGTAAATCATAACTAATTTTATCAAAGTATTTATTGACCAAAAATAAATAAATGTAAAAAAACAAAAATACCAATGATGTATTGAAAATAATAACTTTCAAAATATTTCAAAAACTCTTATTTGTTATTATTCACTGAATCGATCCTTTAATCATGATAAATTTCTTATTCATTCACAATTTATTTTACATTGAATGTGAATAAAAATGAGAAAATATTTTAAAAATTGATTCAATAAAACTATTGATGACGATTCATTCATATCATAAGTAGAACAGAAATTCTTACATGTATTTTACCAAATCTAATATGCTGAATCTTAATTTACACATACATATAAACTTCAAAAACTGAAAGTTAATTTATGAATTAATTATTTTGCTAAAAACTCATTTTTCAAGTAACTCCTTATGTCCATGAAAATCATATGTGTTCATATTAAAAATCTCAATCAGAGATTTTCTAATCTCAAAAATAAAAGTCTTCATTATGTATATTTTATTCAACATTTTCTTCTAAGATCAAAATACTTTTTTTTGTCGACATATTTTATATTGAACTCATTCATATGATAGATTTACTATTTTTTCATATCTATTCGATTGATTTATATAACACGTCTATTTTATTAGAATACAATACAATTTTTCATCTTGTACAGAATAAAAAAAAAATGTAACATACAGAACATCAAAAGTAATTAGAAGCCATATTAAAAGGTACCTTTCTTTTGTCAAGTCTTCTTAAATGCTTAATATTAAACACATATAAACGCAAGAGTACGAAAGAATATAATCTTAATCATTATGTAAGATACTAAGCAATTAATTTAAATTATGATAGTAAAATTTGTTTGCATCAAATAATAAGTCCGTGTAATTTGAGAAAAGAACAACAGCGAGAAAAAAAAATGTAGTAATAATTGTCATGATTGCTATTTCTAATCTATACGAAAATTATTAGTAACGAGATTTTTTCCCCCATTCTCATGAAATGAAAGTTAAACAGTAAAATAAAAATTATTTGAATCAATATTGATAGGAGTGTCAAGAAAAAAATGTTTCAATAGGTAGTCAAATGCTGATTTTGTTTTTTGACTGCCGATGATACTATGGCAACAAAATGTAATCATAAAGAAAATTATTCAAAATGACATTGAAGTTTTTTTCGAAATTTTTTATATTAAAATAAAAAATTGTAATAAATGATGTAATGACCAATGCATTCTGAGAATAATTTTGAAATTTTTTATTTATGAACATTTATTCTATTATATTACAAACAAAGATAAAATAAAGTATGCATAAAAATTTGTACCATTGATTTAATTATTTATAGAGTTGATAAACTAGTAGTACGTATTATTTATCAACCTAAATATTTTATTCTTTAATCGTCTTGGTATGTTCAATGGTGAATACTTGCTTTATGATTGGTGAATCGAACAAGAATGTAATCGATATGGTAATACTCATTACACTACTCTTATTGATAATCATCTTTTAACTCGATATGAAAACTATCTTTTTTACATAACATTTCACAAATATTTGAAACAATACAAGCTAGATATTGTTTAGAAATCTTATACACAAAATATTCAGTTTCTTGTTGTAATGTTAAATATTTAGAATTATGTATTTTATGTAACTTTCACATTATTCATCTATCAAATAAAGATACGTCTATTGTTAAATCAACCATTATACGTTACATTGACATATACCAGCTAATCGATATTATACTTTCTTCTCTATGTAGACGCTTGAAAGAAAAAAGAAGTCCGTTATCTTATTCCTTTCTTTGCTTTGATAATAATGAATGGAACTATTCATTCGAAATAATATCATGTTTATTTTTTCAATGATATTGAGTAGAAACGATACTATGATTAAAAGAATTTTCATTATAGTAACAAAAGTCAAAAAACATTTTCTTATGAATGCATACATATTAGTTTTTTATTAGACGAAAAAAATTGATGATTAACAATAATAACTATATCATAAAATAGTATGATAGAACTTGTTAAGAAGTTCAAACAAAATACTCAATATAGTATTCTCTATCTATAATTCTCTTTTTTTCAAAATAATAAAAATTATTACTCAAAAAGCCACATGAATGCGTCAAATACCAATAATTGACTTATGTGTATCAGTTGTATTGCTTTCATCTTAAATATAAACCATCAATTTGATACAAAAATAATTCTAATGAGTACAGCTTTTAGTTTTTGTTTGATCAGTGAAAACAATTGACTAGTCATAACTAATTTATCGATTGCACACATATGAAATTCTTTATGCACTTTTCTATAACTTACATTAGAAAAAAAAAAAAGAATCATTTCTTTATTTGAAAAAAAAAACCAAAATGAACATTTAATACGTATAGAATTGATGATCATTTTTCGTGTTTGAATAGATCGATACAGACAACATAAGTCAAAAGTTAAATTCATTCATTAATGTGAGAATTGAATAATTTCAAATTTCGTTTTTTTCTTTCGAGATATTCTACAGTGTCATGATTATATGTCTATGTAAAAATAATCACTATTCATCATGAAAAATATTATCTATTCAATTTTTCTTTTTATAAAGATGTGAATTAATGATAATATTCCCATCTACACATTATAATAAAAGCTGTTTGATAATAAAAGAAAAAGTCGTGTATCATGTAAAACTTGTATTTGTATTGAGAAAATTTTGATTTCTTTTATTTAAATTGTTGTTCAATATTACATTGTAGTTTCTATTGTATAGATTGATTAAAAACGAGATAAATAATCATTGACATTTTCTTAATTAAAATATATTGAAACAACTAAAAACAAGATGAAATTTATTTCTTCACTCAATGTTGTTATAATACTGATGATATCAAACAAATTTTTAGTGTTCATAAAATATTGTTGTTTTTTTTAGTTCATATTGACATTCAATAATTTTTTCCTATTTAATATATATATATAAACAGTATTGTTATCGGTCTCGTAATCTTATCGTAAAAGAAAGCAAGTGTTCTCAATAATACGTAACATGTCGATAGATAACTATTGACATTTTTTTATTACTTGTCATCATTGCTCATTCTAATACATTCCATATTTTGTTAATTATTGACCATAGAAGCAAAAACAATTCCGGAGATATGACCAACATATAAACTCGACCTGTTCCGTATTGGTCTATGATACCTCAGGGATTGACATAGAGAAAAGATAAGATTGTTTCTTTCTTTTTTTTTTTCCTGACTGAATAAATTCTTGCGATATTGCCGACAGGCACATCATCAGTATCCGATGGGTATTATCTCTTTTCTTTTATCCGATATCTCATCATGTGTCCTCTTCACATATAATGTATCTATGTGTGCATATTTATAAATGTGCAAGCAGACGAATGGTGATTTATTGTTTTTTCGTTTAATTTTTGCATATGCTTTATATGTATATCATATCGAACGAGAGGCATTCATTAGCAACAACGACGACGATAGGACCCAAATACTCCTCCCGACTCAGACACACACATATATATATATCCTACGCATATATTCATATTTCATACATTAATATATATATATACACATAGGAGCTGTTCACTTTTTTCTCTGTCTCTCTGTCTCTCTCTCTCTCTCTCTTTCTTCAATCCAAACGTATATATCGACAACAAGAAGCATATATATATATATATATACATGTAAGTTCATTTTGTTGTAGAAGGCGACAATACAATATTTTGCATCATCATCATCATCGACAAAAGCTTGCCACTCAAATGTTTGTTGATGCCTTGTAAGTTTTAAGTATACTTTATTGTCAATAGAGAACAACAACAATAATAATATAATGTATAGTTTAGTATATATTCATATGTGTAAAGAGTTTATTGAAGATAAAATGAGAATCATAATCATCATACAATTTTCATAGAGACATTTTTTTGTATTAAAAAGAAAAAAAAATCATCGTTCACTTTTAAGATTTATTTCAATAGTTTTGTTAATAAATAAATAAGATTTGAAGTGATTTTCATTTTTCTTTCTTTTACTATGAAATTTGATATTAAATTCTATGTGAAATAGGCGTGAATTGTTTTCTCCTTATGATTGTTACTTTTTTTTTTTGTTTTTTCTTTCTCTTTGAATGAATGACTTTTTCTGATGATTTGCCTTCCAATGAAGACGATACGCTCACATCCCTTGAGATAGATAGATGTATAGACAGACGGACATAACGCGCGTTGGCTCGCTTGACTTGACCTATCTTGTTGTTGTTGTTCACTGGTCGAATCATCATTAT